ACAGGAATTAGAAGATTCTAGAAGACTAACAAGAAAAAATATGCAGCTAGCATGGCTCAGCTCATGTACCGCTTGCATAAACATTACAATACTGTACATTTTTATCATCGCAACAACAGGCAAACATGTAAAAAGTCCAAGACAAGGGACACTGTAGCATCATGCTCTGGAATGTTCTACCCCAGAATTGATGATTCAAACTCAAAATGTAAATTATTTGGGTGGCGAAAGAACATTTTATTTGGGCCAAATCTCCCCTAAAACATGCCTAGTGACGCCCTGATTTAATCTAATATGTAAGAGAACTCAATCTAATGAATGCAGTATGATGTACAAGTGAAATTTGAGGACCTGTGGAATCAGTATTAGCATCCCCATGGTTACCAGAGTGAATGTCAACTTACTATTGGCTGGAGAGTCCCTGCATTCCCCTTCCTCCAGGGTGACATCATCGATGGCGATATCGCCCTCAATGCCCGACCCGCGAATACCTTCAAACACCATCTGTACAACCATGAAAATAAACATTATTATAGTCACCATGAAAAATATTCATCACAGAAAATGGTGTCAAGGGCCACCTAATCATATGTCTATACTGAAGCAATCAAAATGAAACATACACTGTTTAGTATGCGATTACATATGTAAACCAGGATAAAAGTGCATCTTGTGTGGGCTTTAGCCGTAGACAGTAGACAGGTAACGGACAAAGTCATTGTGACGTCAGCTATCGACTTTACTCAGGCTTAAAGAAAAGTGTTCTGGCGCACAGAAGTGTAGGTTTTGGGTGCCGCCATCTTGTAAAATCTGGAGCCAGAGTCTGCTTGGTATGGTCAAAGTCGTAAGATGGTCCTCATTCGTCCACAAAATATTTATCTATTACCCAAAATTTTACCACTGACATGAATAAGGAGAACAGGGTCTCCATGGTTTACACTGAAGTCAAACAGTGTGGTGCTACAGAGGAATGTCTTTTGACAAGAGCAGGAAATGAGCCCATATTAGAATGAAATGAATGATGCTCGGTTATGGCTGCTTGGTATTGACCAACAGTACCTCCTGCATTCAGTCACGGTGACACGTTGGATTCACGAAGCTCTGAGCAAAGATGGCAGCAAATTATTTGAACAAACCTTTGCGCTGCCTTTGGATTATCATGCAAGCTTACTCAGTTTACCGTATCACAATTATTCATCTTCGCGGCTTCGCTCTGTATTCTCAGCTTGGCTCTTTAATTTGCCCAGTGGTCACTAAATTTAACTGCAAGACACAGAAGAATCCAGAAAGTTTCAAGGCGCTTCCTGTTATCGAGGCCGATTCGAAGCGGAGATTGATCGCACCAAAGACAGTGCGCGGAATCACGAGCCAAGATTGACCGAACGGTTTGCACCGTTCACTGAATGAAAAGGAAAAACAACGTTAGCTGAGATGCTAAAAGGTCAGAGTGTCTGGACGGATATTGATGGGGATAACTGCACAGATAATGAGGCAGTAGGCAGAGTATTCTTGGGTTTTTTTTTTGTGTTCATTAACGCCCGATCTCGACCTCCACAGCGTCCCACCTGGGAGAGCAAGGTTCAAGCTATCGCCACTTTCAGCACAAACCAGATAAAATACAATCGATGCACTTGATTAAAAATCCGACGAAAGACGGCCATGCAGGTCCACTCAGTCATTGGCCTTAAGGGTTCAAATGCAGCCTTGACTCATAAATTACGGGCGAAGCGTCAGCCCTGTGCTGTTAAGTGAGGATAGATTGCTATTCGAGGTTCATCAGGCCAACACACACCTATATATCGAATCACTGGGTTATTGGACTATTGTCTTGAGTTGTTTGTTTGATATCATTAAGGTACTGCATTACTGGCCACGGGTCTTAAATATAGTATCTTTTGCTGACATACTGCATTATTTTAGCGGGTTAAATGTTTGACATTGTACATATACTTAATCACTGTTGAGTTCCAGTTTATCTGCACAGGCTGGAATTCTCTTGAAAGTATTCGACCGATAGCTGCAACATCCTGCGGATTCTGTAAAAGAAAGATGACCGAGCAAACAGTGCTCCTCAACCTAGTCCCTTGAGATCTGCCATCCTGTGGATATTTGCTACAACCAAAATTCTGCACACCTGATTCTGCTCTCGAGCAGTTCTGAGATCTTCGGCTGCTGAATGAGGTGTGCTTTGTCAAGGTTGGGATAAAAAAAAAAAACCGACGGTACGGTAGATTTCCAGGAACAAGCCTGGGGACCTTCAAAATAGGCAGTGAATTGACCATTTTTCTGCAGGCTAGAATCAGCCACTCATGCCAGCCCTGCTAAAGCGCGGGAGGACTGCTAAACTGCCTCTTGCAAATTCACAGGCATTGCGAATCCCCATTGAGTGACGCGCAGAAGCGACAGAATACTGTGCTGACTTGGTCTCTCCCACCATAAGCGATGCGGAGCACGTTCCGCATTCTCCCCGGGCAACAGTTGGCACTGGCAGTGAATACACATGTGCCTCACGGCGAATGGCGCCCCGACTGAATCCCGCACGGGCGACGATGCCCAGCAGAATACATCCCTGGTGAATATCCATCTGTTCAAACTCGCAGGCAACTGGCCACTTTCACAGGTACAGCACAAGCTGAATCATAGACCACATTTAAATTCTGAATGGGGATTCTCTCAATCAATCTCTGCTTAGCACAGGATTACGCTTAATCTGTGTGTGTAGAACTGGCCTTTCATGTATCAACGCTCAACCTATACGGGATAAGTTAACCCTTTAAACGCTTGAATTTCTCCTTAAGAAGGTTCAAAGATAGAAAAAGGATTTCTTCATGTTGTCGGACAATGTCATATATATATATATATATATATATATATATCCGTATCTGCTGATACAACGCTTCACTTAAGGTACTTAAACTGCGAAAAATATTCAGACCCAGGATGCCATGATTTTTATGGCTGCAGCATTATATCAAATAAAAAACAGTTAGATATTGTGCATCATTTCCCTTCAGTTCAGCAGTACATACTGCTTTTGGGATTGTTGGAAACCTTAGGATCTCCACTAGAGCTTAAAATAGGCCTGAAGTTCCACAGGTTTGAATACAGCAGCTGCATTTGAGGAGCCCGTGTATGGGTCTGCAGTTTTTATGGGGTTTCAGGGGTCAGGAGAAGCTCAAAGCTGAGGCCAATAGTGTCTGGCTTCAGGGAAACAAACATAGTTATTCAACGCCATACTGTTCATGAGTCCATCCATCCCGCCATCTTCTAACCCAGGGTCATGGAGGGCTGAAGCATATCCCAGCATGCAATGGGTGAGAGGCAGGAACATATCACATCATGGACGGTTTGCCAATCTATCACAGGTTACTTATTGTGTGGCTTATTTTTATATTGAAGGAAACTTAAAGAGAAGATGTATACTGTAAACCCCGACAAGTGCAGTGAACTCAAATGTTTTGTGAAAACCGACTACCTCAAAAAAAATGTAGTATGCTAACTTAATGATCATGTGTTCACAGCACTTAAAAACAAATACTTTTACCTTATTTTCTTTACATTCCTTCCACACAATGCAATTAAGTCTGCCTACACAATTTTTTTTGAGGTAATCGGTTTCCACAAAACATTTGAGTTCACTGCACTATCAGGGTTTACAGAGTACCACAGGGAGCAGCTATCTGGAGAGGCGTCATACGCCAATACGAGACCATTGATTAATTACGAATACGTAACAGAAGGGGGAAAAACGGGACCATCGACACCAGTTTACGGCTCGGTTCGGTTTCCGCCGCTGGCGTCTCCTGATGGAGAAGGTCGTCCTCTCACCTGGAAGGAGGTTGTCGGTTGGATGCCGACTTTGGCCTGGTGCCACCGATCTCCCTGGTTCCCGCTCAGCGACCACACAGGACTCTCGGACGAGGTTTGGCCTTTTTGCCGCAGAAACGTGTTGAGGGTCCCTGAGAGAGCACAGAAATTTCAGCCGTGAGATGAGATGCTCTCGTCACATGCAGTGAAAACACCAAAAACTCACACCAGAGGCCATAATGTTACAAACTTAGGCCCATCTCAGCCATTGGCTTCGTAGGCCAAGAAGTAGGGAAACACATCCTGTTTTTTCATAATGCCAAGTGTGATGTTGACTCTCGATTACACAAATTTGGACATCATATCCCACCCTCTAAATGAATAAAACTGACTAGGAATAAGGAAATGCTAAAATTCTCGAATGCCAGCTCTTGGCCGGCTAATGAATGAACCGAGAGGGCTGCACAACACTAATAGACAAAGAAGACATGCGCACGGACACTATTTTTCATCAATATTTAATCATGATAATGAGACGCAGCCAAGTTGTGTGCAGAGAAGATTTAAAAATGTCTGGCAAGATGAGAGGAGTATTCGTCCAACCACCTTTGGGCTGGCACTCTGCAGCCGCAGCCAAGAAGATGGATGCTTCCTGCGCGGCTAACACTGTTGTTAGCCCTCCCTTGGCAGTCGATGCAAAACAAGGAAGCATTTTGATGAATGTGAAATGTAATAACTCGCAAGCCGACAGCAGGTAACTTCGCAGAGAGCTCAGTGATTTATCACACTGGGGATGCATTGTGTTGTTTTTTTTTCCAATGATATTGTAACTCTGAGGACACAAAAGCAAATATACATATTTTACCGGGGACTGGTTAAATATTTAATTCTGATTGGTCAAGAGTAAGACGATTAGTGTCAAATAACTTGTTTCTATAAACAGAACTATGAACTTCCAGCACTATTTTTAATGCATAAAAGAAGCCTCTTAAAATACATTTTTTTCCTACATTCTAACTGCAACTGACAGCAGCTGCAAAAAACAGCGACATACAGCAGTTCAGCAAGGACACAAATTACTCTGGGACACAAATCAATATTTGCAGGCATCGACGGAGTGAGACAATAATTTTTTAAGGAATTCCATATGCTTGCAATGGCCCTTTCTAATATTTATTGATTGAATTTTTACTGGCACGGTGGTACAGTGGCTAGTACTGCTGCCTCGGAACAAGGAGGTTCTGGGTTTGAGCCCCTGCTGGCCAGGGCCTGTCTGTGTGGAGTTTGCATGTTCTCCCCATGTTTGCGTGACTTTCTCTATGTAATCCGGTTTCCCCCACCCGAAGCTGCATTATAAGAACACTCCTACCAGTGTCCTACTAGTGTCCCTGACCAAGGCTCTGGCTTTAGAAAGACATGCTCAATAGGAACACTCCTACCAGTGTCCCTGACCAAGGCTCTGACTTTAGAAAGATATGATCTATAGGAACACTCCTACCAGTGTCCCTGACCAAGCCTCTGGCTTTAGAAAGACATGCTCTATAGGAACACTCCTACCAGTGTCCCTGACCAAGCCTCTGGCTTTAGAAAGACATGCTCTATAGGAACACTTCTGCTAGTGTCCCTGACCAAGGCTCTGGCTTTAGAAAGACATGCTCTATAGGAACACTCCTACCGGTGTCCCTGAGCAAGACTCTGGCTTTAGAAAGACATGCTCTATAGGAACACTTCTACCAGTGTCCCTGACCAAGGCTCTGGCTTTAGAAAGACATGCTCTATTGGAACACTCCTACCAGTGTCCCTGACCAAGGCTCTGGCTTTAGAAAGACATGCTCTATAGGAACACTCCTGCTAGTGTCCCTGACCAAGGCTCTGGCTTTAGAAAGACATGCTCTATAGGAACACTCCTACCAGTATCCCTGACCAAGGCTCTGGCTTTAGAAAGACATGCTCTATAGGAACTCTCCTACCAGTGTCCCTGACCAAGGCTCTGGCTTTAGAAAGATATGCTCTATAGGAACACTCCTACCAGTGTCCCTGACCAAGGCTCCGGCTTTAGAACTGGAGTTGGTGCCCAGGCGCTGCTCTGTGGCGGCCCACTGCTCCTAACTACCGTCAAATGCAGAGGACAGATTACCCCACAGGTCTCTTATCTTAATCAGAGTGAGTTGCATTTTTACATATGACAGAAAAAATAAGCAGAACTGGATGTTTACAGCAGCAATTCAGAATAAGAACCTAAAAGTGCCCTAAATCTGAGAATAGAAAGGCAGTTCCCTACAGCTCAGACCTGAGCCTACAAAAAAACGCCCCCGTAAACCCACTTCCCAAACCACCATGCTTCACTGCAAACACTAATTACACAACATGAGGCTTTTTTTTTTTTTTGAAGCTGTCGCCCAGCAATCTGCAGCAGGAAGGATTGCGGAAATGAAATTCAGTCTTTCGTACGGCCACTGTAAATGGTATACTGGAATTTTAACTTTTTTTATTTTCAAGTGCAGTAGGAAAAATAGAACAGTGTCACTGAAACACCAGGATGACAACTGTCGCTGCCGAAAAAAATGTTTTTCCACACACTTATGTGAACAAAGACTCGCAGCACTGCCTCTGTTCAGAGGGTGTTGGCTCTATCGTTATATTATTCGCTTTGGGACAACGTACGGCCATAAGCAGAATCTACAGGGAAGGTTTTCTTAGGTCTTTAGTCTCCCTTGAGATAAAAGCTCCAAATCCTGTGACATCACAGAAAACCGGTATTAACTTCCTCTTCCCGTTCGTTGAAAACATTGGCTGATGTCTCATAATTCTAAAGTACACTATGAGGCAGCAGCGGCCGGTGGACAGAGAACAAGGAGGGCGATAAACATGTATTTAAACTGCTTATTAGTCTTGATCTGTTTTCAGTCAATTTCCCTGGTAAAAGACACTTGAACTCCCCCCTCTCAGGAGTAGCTAATTGTCTTCGTTAAGGCGAAATCAAACGCACCAGTTGAACGCAAAAAGCGCATTTCAATCTTTTTTCAATTCAACAATCATTACGCACAGGTTTGACGACTTGCTTAGGATGTGACAAAAATTTAACAGAAAAATCCACAGAGGTTTTTTTTGTGAAGAGTTGCCTATTAAGGCATGTGAATTAAACATTTTATAGAATTTATCATTCACTCGCCTAAACATTTCATTATAAGGGAAACTAACATGTTGACCAAGAGCAATGATTGAAATTGGGTCACTAATCTCATCCGTTTCAAGGGATGTTTTCCGCCCCCTCAGTTTTCCGTCCACCGCCTGCCACTGCTATGAGGTCAAAACTGCGTGAACATCTGTGTAATCTAACATCTTCTTGCAAAATCATGGACTTTTATACAGAGTTTGTCACCTCTTTGTAGCAATAGCAGCTGCCATTTTTCCGGAAAGGCTTTCCACTACATGTTAGCGCATTGCTCGAGGGAGTTTAGTTCATTCCAGGCAGAAAAGCATTCGTAAGGTCAGGCCGTGATGTAGGGCGATTCCGCTTTGCAGTTGATCGCAACGGCGTTTTGAGGTCAGGGCTCAATGCAGACCTGTCACAATATTCTTCAGCGATCTTAACAAACCCCACTGTGTACGGGAGCACTGTCATGTTCAGACAGTACAGGGCTTCTCACCAACTGTTGGCAGCACAGCTTCATCTGGAATTCAATCTCAGCAACAGCCTAAAGATTTCCCCTCACAGCAACAAGAGGTCTACCTCAAACCTTGTGAAACAACCCCAAGCCCACCAGCGTCTGCATACTTTTGGCCAAACAGAGCACAAAGCTAAGCCTTAGAGGGTATAGATTTCTATAGTAAAGCAATTATCATTTGGGGCATACAACAATTCTACTCTAAAATCTTCTGTCCTCAAACCAACCTCAGTCAGAGCAAGTCCAGACAAAGGAAGTGCAAATCACGGACCGCCATCTTGGCTCTGAAAGCTTAACAACACTCAACCACTGTAAAGTGGAACATATTTTTTGTTAACAGGCTTCATTTTTTTCTTTCAATGGCTTTGTTCATTCAACAGCTCACATATTCAGAGGGAGCAGGGGAACAATTCCTCGTCTGGTAGTCTTGCTTACGGAGGGCAAAGTACACTAACACATTTCATTTTGGCTTACAAGACTGTTTTGACTCGTCTGCCTGTTTCCTACAATGGCTCTGCTGTAGTTCAACCAGGCTAATGGAGAAATATCTATCCACACAAACATTATCAGACCAGCTTTTCCCTGATGAAGGTCAGCGGAGGAACGGGCCGGAGCCTATCACAGCATCCAATGAGAAAGAGGCAGGAATACATGACGGATGGACAGCTAGCCAATCGGGAGCAGGGCTCATGCACTGTTCACTCACACACACACACACACACACACACACACACACACACACTACCTGTGGTCAATTTAGAGTCTCCAGTTAGTCTAACGTGCATGTCTTTATCCCAGAGGGGTCAAAGGCCTTTGGTAACCTCACCTTTTAATGCTTAATTTCCCAAACCTGTCGCAGTTTACTTTACCTGATTAGCAGCTGCTGGTAAGACTGATAGGTAGAATGACCGCCCAATTATTTTCTGATTCCATTAATGTACGCAGCTTCACTAAGTTATGAGGCAGTTTCTTCAGCGCATAGATGACATCGTAAAATGTCCATGTGTCTTTTGAAGATTCTGAACTCATGTAACTCATGAAACAGCACAGATTTGCATAAATTAGCTCACCAGGCTAATTAAAGCGGTTTGCCAGAAAGTTTGGCGTGATCCGATATGCCTCAGATTTCTTCCTCTTCAGATGTAATGACACTCTGAAGAAATCAAGCGTAATCTTATGATTAATTCCCCTTTTTGAAAAAAAAAAAAAAAAATGCTAAAATGAGAGATGAAAGTCAGAGAAAGTTCTGGATTTTTTGCATTTATTCAGATTATTGCCATCCCTACAATGTCACATCTATTATATAAACGAAGCGAAAAGGGAATCACTCTGTTGTTATATCTTAATCATCACAGGATATGTATTGATCTTGTTCACTCAGTAAATACATTTGATCACGCAAACTGAAACAGGTTCAGCTTTAGAGCGATCATGCGTTAAAAGGTGAAGTTACTGAGTGCCCTCGTACCCTCTGGCGTGACTACAGGGGGAAAGAACAGCACCTGGAGCAAATCCGCTCGCTCAGTCATGTGGAAAACATGTGCACGCCACACTGAAGGGTCCCGGGCTGGATTTGAACACGCAACCTGCTCGCTGATAAGGCAAAGCAATACCAACTGCACTACCACAGGCAACCCGAAACAACATAACTTTGTACTCTTTCACCATCAAACACATTAGCAGCGGTCACTAAACGACTTGTAAGAATATGACTCAGTATGTTAGAATGCATTAATCTACCTTTCTTAAAAGGGAAGCCCACTATTGATTGAAGTGCACTTAATGCAAGACCAAACGCTTCTCAGATGCTGAATACAGCTTATGATTATGATTGGGCTGTGTGAGTGAGTCTTTATTTTTGCTTTTTGTGTGATTAGTTTTTCCGTAAAAACTAATCAAAAAATCTACCTCAAAAAAATTCACCTTTTACATATTGGCACATCTATGGCAACGGCCCAGTGGCTGTGGTACTTAATTGGTTCCAGGGGAGCCCGGTGTAGCTACAATAATATCACCGCAGCCGTTTGGGCCCTTGAGCAGGGCCCTTGAACTTCACATTACCCGACTGGACAATGGCTCCTGCTACATCTAATCAACTGCATATGCGGTTACCACCAGCAGCAAACTCTGCTAAACAGGCAGCCTTCACAGGCTAGCATTAGCTCAGTCTGTTTAATGAACGTCAGGGCAGCAGCATCTGCCGTTTAGCATAGTAAATGACTGAAACACAGTATCTGCGGCTCAAAATATGAGTTTTCAGCTCGTTGTACACTGCCAGAGTCAGACAGTCTGACAGTTTGCAGAGCCGCGCAATTTCCACGTACGTAAGTAACACTTTGATAAATCGCAGCTGGCATGAAAAGCTGCCAGTTCTCGCAAAAATCTGTTTGTTCATGCAGCTGATAAATGATGTCCCAGGACGGTGAGACTAGACTTACAATTCAGGCAAAAATTTGACACAAAAGACACAGAATCTTCTGAATTATTCTGTAAAATCAAATATCCAGACCTAAATCAACCCTGGCAGAGTACTTAAGGTATCTATTGGACTCATACTACGTGCTGCATTAGAGTTGAATTAACCGTCAATATTGTGC